AGTTAAGTGAAAAATAGCGCTGCGATAAGTTTTAGCCAACAAATAAAGATAATTTACTCAAATTTTGCTGTATTCTAAAGGGTGAAAAACCCACAGGAATGTTGTCTTTTAATTTTGAGAATAATTTTAGCATAAAAATTTATATTGTTTCATTGTTTTGAGATATTTATGGAAGTTTACTGAATTTTACCAATACGCAAACAATTTCTATAACCAATATTGCGTACAGCTTCTTCTACCATCATTATTCCATGCTTTGCAGCATTTTAGAGTGGAAATATTTAAATGTGCATGTTTGATTGAAATTATCGAAACTTAGAATGTCTCACAAGAAATCACTCTGATTTATCTTCGTTTTTTTTATTTTTTGCTTTGGCATTTTGGTACTGTAAGAGTGTTGCTATCAATCAGGATTAATAACGGTAAATATCGTTACTTTCAAACGTAAGCGTGAAAACAAACGAATTTTTACACAAAAATAAAAAACGAAATATTGAAATAAAAATATATAAAAAATATCATTAATAAATATGTAAGTAACATTTTAGAGCAAATACTTTGCTAAAAAAACTGTCCATACTTAAGGCAAAAGCAAGTTTGCATTGCATTATATTTATTATTTTCGTTAAGTATGTGAAAAAACTTGGATAAGTGCAATATTTTAGATAAATGCAACACATTATTGCATAGTGTCATGCCATTCATTACGTACGTGTAAGTAAAGTAAATACTGTAAACTTTGATCAAAGTTTCAAGAAAACTTTTCCCAAAAAAGAAAAATATTTTGAGTATTTACTGCAATTTCAGCACAATTTTGTGAAAACAATAACCAATAAAAATGCCATTTATATAAGCAAAAAATCTGAATTTTTGATCAACAAAAAACGATTTGTGCAGAAAAAATATAATCTGAATTGGACAGAATTATCGTTAGTTACTTAAATTTTCCAGAAATCGAAAAAACTTTCAAGAGAACGAAAAAATTTGCATATATAATTAAAAAATTGGAAAATAGAAAAATGATGAAGAATGCATTTCAAATTTAGTAATGCTAGTAACAATGCACATGTAGCAAATTTTATAAAAGTTTGTAGCACTATTTGCAGCAGAAACTCAAAATGGTATAGTTTGTCCAGTAAGTCAATAGAGAATAATATTAGGTCAAAGTTCGATGGGATCAGAATTAGAAATATAAATAGCAAAAGTGCAGTAGACAGAATGAAAGCACACTTCTGAAAAATAGAAGACAAGACAAGACAAGAAGGAAGGGAGAATTCGATAAAAAGCCGCAAGAGCAAATCATTTTTCATTTCTTTTTTTCTGCTTCAATTCGCTTTTTTGTCATAGTGCAGTGCAGGCAGTGCAATACAATTGTCTGAATAATTGCAATGAATACAAATTGGGATGTGCCTGTGAAGTGGACTTCATGAAGTATAAATGTTATCAAATGAAAAGCTAGTTGAAAAGTAAACCCTACTAAGACATCACTTGGTTTCTTCTTATTGTTAAGTAAGTCAGTTGCACGTAACGAAAGTAAACTTAATTGTGACTTTATAGAAGTGAATGAAAATGATATAAAATTAAATGAAGCAAAAAAAGTGAATTTGGACGGAAATGAAACAGAGGCTTAGAAGCAATCGAGTTATATCTAACAATTTTTGTCACTACGTAAATGCTTAAAATTAAAATCTCATCAAAAAGATTAGCAGCTTAATCTAATATTTAACAGCTTAATCAGCTTAATCTTAAGCTCAATTGCAAATTCTGCTTTTATTAAGCTAAAAGCAAGACAAGGAAAAGCCAAACAAGTTTAATGACTAAAATTACGAATTTTGAAACAAAAAAACCAATCGTTAGTTAGTGCTTTTTTTTCGTTATAATTTTAATAGGAGAGATATTGCATTGCGTTCAGTAATTATCTCAAATACATAACTTTTAATTGCTATTAACTTAACTTAGTGAAAGTAAAGAAAAGTATTCAATCGATCGTAAAAGTGTTGCTACTTGTGATTGTTTGAATGAAAACCATTTCTTTCTTTAATTAACTTTACATTGTTAGAATTTGCAATTACAGTACTTTGCTTCCTTTTTTTCACTGTTTAACGACAAGCGAACTTTCTTAAATTGCAATCTATTTAATCACTGAAAATGAAAAGTCTTACTGCGCACTTTCAATTTGGTCTTGCATAACGTTACAGAAATTTGTGCTGATTTTATTCATGACATGCATTGAGCATTCAGTGCATCAAAATTGTTTTGAAAGATTTGGGAAATCTGTCAAAAATGACTTTTTTATCAATTTTTCTACAAACAGCTATTAATTCTGCATTATCTGAGATTCTTGCCATTGCTCAAAAAGATCAAGAAAATATTCATTACAGTACTATTTGTGTCATCAATGATCATTCTAAACGTTATTATATTTTGATTCTAAGCTGCAGGCAGCTACAATGCAGCAGTTTTTGACACAATTCATACATGTCTAAAGTTACACAAATATCTAGTCAATCGAATTACTTGTGTATTAATTGTAATGTAAACCAAAACCATCACTGGGTAGGTATCCAAAGATCTCATTTACAATAGGTCACGATATTCACATGTGTTGAGAATACTGACTTAAGTTTTAATCCTGTATAGGATTAGCAAACCCAGGAACTTAAACTATGAATCTGTTAATATTGCAAAAATATACTTTTTCGAAGAAAACTGCGAAAGTTTTTGCAGTTTTCTTCGAAAAAAGTCACAAATATCTTTATTGTTTTATCATGCTCCAATTTTTTGACATGGTTGAAGTGTTTCAACAAACAACTTTAAATTAACTATTTACTTAAAAACTTGAGCATTTCCGGTTTCCAGTAATAGTACATAGCTAAACGATCAAAACCATATTCAGTATAATCGAAATCAATCTGGTATATTTCTGCTTGTTGGAATGACCAAAGTGCCCAAAATAATTGTGGAAATGCTGCAAACTGTCGCACTTCACACAACAATCGCTCAATGGCAGCGTCACGATCACTTGGCAAATCCAAAATGCAGTGATTTCTACTTTCAGCTTCATGACTTTCACGATAAATCTACAACGTTTTTTAGCTTTTTTATAACCAATTTCTTTCATATGAATTAACTAACTAAAATGTAATTTTAATTAGTTTCAAACTAAAATATTTCTTGAGAGAGTTATTCACCCGCTCAATAAATCAATAGTCTAATAGTACAGATACGTGAATAATAAGTTATTTACTTTTATATAGTTCTGTTTAATATTAATATTATTGTTACTGAAGAATTAACAGATACGAAATCAAATGAGCGCCTAATATTATTCGGCAATCACAATGCTTTTAGCGCATTAAATTTTCCATAGAACAAAATTTTCGGTTTTTCGATAGTTTCCTACTGAAAGAGAATGAGGAAGAAAATTTGAGAGATCATAAATTTTCAAAAATTTAATTAAAAAAATAACAAACTAAAAATTACATTATACTAATATTAATTGTAAATTAATAATAGTGTAACAAATGTATTATAACTTTAAGCCAACTTTGTTTGCTTCATCGAAATAGGCTCCAACATATAATCGCTGTATTTCTTCATTAGGCCACTGTTCTTGGTTGATTTTATAGTAAGGCCATACTTCTCCTTCATTATGTTGACAGCATTCTACACAATAATGGCATAAATCAAATCCGCTAAAACATGTAACTTCATAAAAATAAAAAATAAACATTGAATCGACAAGCAAAATTTTCAAATTATAAATGAAAGATTAACAAAATTGTTATCAGTCAGAACAAATAAATAAGTGAGGTAATGTAATCATAACATTGAAGCTCTAAAAAGCACTGTTAATGTCTTGACTTAAATACTAACATGCTTACACCATCTATTTAACTAACAACATGTTCATATACTATACTAATCATATTCAGAGATCCAGCAATTTTTGTGATCAAAATTTCATCTTAACACTTACTTTTCCCCTTTAATATTATTTTATAAATAATATAAAAAACCCAAACTTTTATATTCATAACATAAACTTTTTTCATGACTAAAAATTTATTTCTAAAGCAAAATTTGGAAATTGTACCAAAAATGTTCTCATAAAATTGCTCGCACAACATTGTAAACTCATGATGGTCTTCTACAATCTCAGATTCCAAATTCAACAAATATTAAGCAAGCATAATAGTAGTTGAGGTTTCATTCCTTAGTAGCAGTGATGTGAATCGTCGAAAAATATAAAGGCATTAAATACGAAGTGAGCAAACAGAATAAAAGTACAGTTTGTTAAAGCAAAATAATATTTTTATGTTAAAAAATTCATAGTTGTGGTAATGAAAAGTGAAAAATGAAACAAACCGATAATTATAACATGCGTATTCGTAATCGATGAGAACAATTGGATCAATATTGTCTTTCTGACCAATAAAGCCTTCAGAAGTAACTTTAAATCCATTTCGCAGAAGCAAATTTCCTTCCTAAATAGAAATTGCAATGAAGAATAACCATCAAATAACAAACATTTGAGATTTGGTCCTTTTTAAAAACATTACGATAAATTTTGTATAGTTCGCTACTGAAGACTTCCAAAACTTTTTGAAAGCCACAACGTAAATGAAAGCTGTCATATATTAGCAACTTATAAAGAACATCAAATTAAATTAGTGTCAAATATAAGCAAATTGTGAAAGTTATTTGAAGTATTTGATGCTTTTTGCCATTTATTGTAATATAATTTATTGAAAAATATGAAACAGAGTAAACATACATGTACATCGTTGTTACTGAAAACCAGTGGACTTCCACTTTTTGCCAAACATTTTTTGCACATGTCGATTTCTTCCAACAGCAAATTAAAATTTATGTATTCAGGGCACTACAAAAATATACTTAAAGCAATGACTTGTCAACCATAATTATGCAAAACATCTCAAAAACTGTACAAAAAAAACGATAATAGCGAAGGCCATATTTCTGTCGCAGTAAGATGCTTCAGATAGCTTATCACAATAAGGAGCTTTATTGAATAACTTACCATCTACTAATTAGAATCCTTTAATCGTTTTTTGATTGCTATTGAGAAAATGAATTAGTCGACAACTTCTGTCAATTTTTAGGAAGAAAGCTTATTTGAAGCATCTTATTGTGATATTGCTCATTAATTTTTGTAGTATCTTCAAATATGTAATGAAAATACTTGTGAAGTATATTTAACATTTTAAATTAACGTCATGGATAGATATTGTAATTTAGCTTTCAACTTTTAAACACACTGATTAATTTGCATATACAATATGGTGAAACCTTTCATAACACTTACAAGTTTTTTATCAACTTTCGCTAATGTAGTATGCATTGGATAACTTGTCATCCACTGATTAGAATCCTTTAATCGTTTCTGAATTTTATCGATAAAATGCATTAGTCGATAACTTTTGTCAATAGGCATATCAAGTGAGTGTATTCTTGCAAGAATTCTTCCGACTTCTTGAGCAACACTGCAAGAAACTTCTTTGTAAACCACATTTCTGGAAAGAAAGAACGAACTTTCGACATCGCTTATTTTCAGTAAATACTACATAATATACAAACCATGGCAGGCAAAATTCATCGTTAGTAAGCGTACGTGAGGGAATATATTCTTCAAAGCGTCCGCCAGGCATAATCCCTAATAATCTAGGACCTAAACGTCTGAAATGTGTTGGAACGAATTTTAAAAAAGCACCGTAATTTTAAAAATATTCGATGTTTAACTGAATTATGCCAAACTTAATCTTGTCTTTTTCCACTGATATAAAAATTTGCTAGTGTTAAAACTCTATTGGCATGGAATCAATACTACTACTACTAATAATAATAATAATAAATAATAACAAGGGTAATAATAATTAAAGGCTTAATTTATGTATGCTTATAAGTAGCCTTTATCGTCTAAATTAAAAATAGTATGGGGAAAAAATGAACCGTTCAGCCAATATAGCGAAAACAATTCCTTCTGGAAGTTCATGATCTTTAGTTAAGTTTCTATAAACCCGAAAAATAACTTTGAGCGGTTCATTACATTCGGTCTTTATACCATCAGGAAGTTCCAGAAGAAATATTTGATTGTTTGAACCACCTCTGAAATAACTGATCAATACCAAATTTGATATGATCCAGGCCTGATTTAAACTGGTTTTACTATTAAACAGTTTTTGTTACCTTTTAATTGATTCAGTTGAAAAAAGTCAACAAGTATTAAATCAATACTTTTAGTACAAGAATAAATTCTCAGCTTAGATGAAAATACTAAAGAATATAAAATCAATTACATTAACCTTTGAATTGTTACGCGAATATGTTGCGATGGAATATTAGCCCAAACTCCGCCAAGATATGAAGCACACAGATGCGATAAATGCTTGCGAAAAGTCAGATCATCTGATGGACGTAAGAAAATATTTCTAAGATTTGTTTCATCAACCAATTCGCTAGTCATTGCAGGTCAAAGAACTTTCTTCTCTTGCGTACTCCGCTTCTCACTCGTTGACCAATATTCTCCGGGTCTCTTCTTCTCTTACTTGGAATGTCTCGCAGTAATTGCACCGTGAATGAATATATTTCATGTAACACTTAATTAATTAATCAATTAATTAGTTATCTCATTAGATGACAAGTTAAACGTTATAGTCTACAAGAATGCAAATTAATACATTTATAAATTACTAAGAGTCAAAGTGGAAAAAAGCTATAACCAGTCATTTGATAATGCGAAAAATAAACAAACATGCAAACACTCGCAAGTTAAAATCGATGCTTATTCTTCCACATTATCCCTCATGTGGTTTAAATATATTTGATTTGAATCATTTGCAGTTACAGGTGTTAGATGTATCTAAACATTATGAGTTGCATCCATACCGTACTTCTTAGTTTATACCATTTGACTGCAAAATATTATCTGAAATTGATACTTGTTTTTCTTTATTAAATATTTGTTTGTTTACTTCACCAAAAAATAATATGCTTATAAGTTAATGTGGTTGCATGGCTATTTATGTGAAATTTTCGTGCTTATTTAATCAAAAAAATATCTTTCACTTTTTTGACAAAGTTTAGTGCTCAAAAAAGTTGGACAAAAATGCCAACTGGCCTTAATTCTTAAATTGTTTGGTACCTCGGGTTTACTCCAACTTTTTGCGCTATTTTGCAGAGCGTGCTTACTTCGTGCATTTTTAGAGTGAAATATGTAGAATTAGACAGAGTGCGCTAAACTTGACTCAATCCTGCTACTTTTGTTTTGCAAGAACAAATGCACAAGTGGCCTTAAGGCCCGCTGACTCCATTTATATGGCTAGGTTTTGTTGGCTCATTTTTAATACTTTATCACTAAGCCTTGCAAACCTCATCAGTTCTTCCAAAATGAAAATCATCTTTTTTTTCATTGTTCAATATTTATGCTTTAATTTCTTAATCAGTTCATTGTTTGGTAGACAAAAATAACTGAAACTATTGTTTAGATAATTTAAATCTGACAAACAATTGATTTTTTTCGTTTTGCTCTGCTAATTATTTTCAAGTCATTTATGGTAGAAAATTTCTTCGCAATTTGCAAGTAATATTTTTGTTTGATATTGGAAATATTTGAATTAATTCATTCTTTATTACGTTGAACATTGTTTTTTTTGATTAAATTAATTAGTTTTCAATTTAATTCAATTAATATAGAAGGAAATGAAAAATGTTTCAGCAAATTTGTCAAAGACGTGGTGATGTTGCCAAAGAACTGCAATGAATTATTGATTTCTCGTTACTGTTAAGTTGACATTAATTAATTTTAGAAACTTTATAAAGTTTTTGTGATGAGAAAATACTTGCTTGAAGTTTTGAGAAATTTAAAATCAAAATTTGTTAAATCAGTTGCTCACTGTCAGCTGTTATAGATGAAGCTATTAGTTGTAGACAGAACTTATTACTCAATTCATTTCCATCAATTTACTAAAATTTTTAACATTGTTCAGTCGATAAAGATCAGTGAAATCTAAATACTAAAAGATTATCTGAGCTTGAAAAATTGTTATTCGGTTTTTTAGCCAGAACGAAAATGAAAGAATAATTGAAAATTGAGTACCATTTTGTGTATAGAATTTCGAGAAAGAGAAATATAGCTGTTTCTGAATTCCTGAGTTTTTTCAATGCTCTTTCTACTGTTTTATATAAATCAAAATAAATGATTAAAGATTCCATTATAATGATTAAAGATTCCATTAATTTCGAAGGGATTTTTTAATTTGGATTTCATGTAAATTTGTAATTTTTTAGGAAAATGACCAGGAAAGATTTGCTTGCGAAAATGTGAAATTATATGCAAATTCTAAATGACTAGCACGCAACTATCAATATTATATTTGGTATCTGTGATGGCTTCACCACCAGAATTAAGACTGAGGAAAGATTTGATGCATGATTACAATCCTTTGGAACGACCGGTTGAACGAAGTGAAGATCCTGTTATTGTAACACTGGGAGTAATCTTCCAACAAATTATAGACTTGGTGTCATATTTTTTGATTCAATCATTTACTCTGTTCAGAAATGAATTTTTCTATTTTCAAATTCAATTCAATTAAGTCAATATAACAAAAGTAGAAATGCGTACTGCACTGTTTGAAGTGCTGAAAGAATTTTAGAATGAACGAGAGGAAAAACTTGAAGTGAATGCTTGGTTAAAATATAATTGGAATGATATGAAGCTTCGGTGGGATCCATTGGAATATGAAAATATCACAGATTTAAGGCATCCTGCTGGTACTATTTGGCAACCTGATATCTTACTGTACAACAGGTGCATCTCAATTTACTTTTTTAGTTATGAATAACCTTTACCATTAATAAATTTATTATGAAGCTTGAGGTTCATTAAAATTTTTGGAGCATGTAAAAATTAAGATTATATCTATATTCACTGCATTTTTCAGTTCATTGTGTTTACTGTACATCCAATTCATTGTACTATAATGCAAGAATTAAGGTTTAAATTTAGGCAGTCAAAAAAATCTTTTTGATAAAAAAATCATATTTATTCAATTTAGTGTCGATTCTGCCTTTGATAGTACATTTAAAGTGAATGCTATCAGCTATAATGATGGTTCAATAACGTGGATACCACCAGGAATTTTCAAAATTTCATGCAAAATTGACATTTATTGGTTTCCATTCGACGAACAAATTTGCTTCTTAAAGGTTGTCTTTCATATTTGTCAAAAATGTCTATAAAAAACTAAAAGTTTCAAAAATTTTTAACCTACAGCTTAAATTTCCAGCAAAAAATTAGAAAAAACTTTCCAATATTTTTTATTTATAATACTAAAATATCTTTTCAATTCTTTTTGTTTTATTTTACTGAATCATTACAAGTAATAAGAAATAACATTTAGCTTCTTCCATAATATTTTTTATAAATACACAAAACAAATTCTGGATTCATTTTACATCAAAAATCGAAACTGAAAACTAAGATTCAAGTTAAAAGTGTAATTTTAGTTTGGCTCTTGGTCCTTTAGTGGTCGTGAAATCGATCTGCAACCTGGTGATTTTGATATGTCCGATTTCATCGAAAATGGCGAGTGGATCATTATCAGTAAGTAATTATGATCTTAATTTCAATTTGTTTGATTGCTTTAACAAAAATCATTTTTTGAATTTTCCATACATATTTTTAATATTTGCATTATTTTACTGAAAAACTTTGAGAAAGCGATGAAAATGACGCTAGTAAATTTCAGTTTTGTATAAAATTTTCGAAAATCACTTTTACAAGTTTTTATTTACTACTTTTTGAATTTTGGGACATTTCTTCGAATTACTCTATTGAAGCTCTTCAAATCCTTTCCTTAGTACAGTTCTTCTGCTCACTAACATCATCAGGAAAGCTACAAAATAAAATTGTATCATGTTTGAGAAACTTGGGAGCAGAGGAATGAAAAGTTTTATGAGTGCTGTCCCGAACCATATCCAGACGTTCGATTCTTTGTTCATTTGAAACGAAGAACTTTGTGGGTTCATATTTTTTTAATAGAATTTATAAATAGATTCTATATGAATATGTTAGCTTTGAGCACGAAACAAATCTTCAATCTGCAATGATAAAAATGCACATTTTTCAAAATTTATGAGTTAATAGATGTGTTGTTTTTTTTCTTTCAGATATTATGCATTCAACTTGATCATGCCTTGCATGATGACTTTGATATTAATTGTTCTTGGATTCACTCTAAGTCCAGACACATGTGAAAAAGTAGGGTTACAGATTTCTGTATCACTGGCTATGTGTATATTTTTGACAGTAATGAACGAAATGACCCCACTAACATCTGAAGCTGTTCCTTTGCTTGGTATGTTATTAACTTTTCATTATTTAATTTTTCTCAGTTTTTTGTTTCCTAATAGTTATTTTTTGCAACAGTTTAAAAAATGCCTATTTGTATTTTTTTTGAATGATTTGAAAAAATTGTGTCTATCAAAAAATGACCATACAGGCAGAAATTCATAAGAAATATGATCGAAATATCAAATCGTTCACAATTATTTTGAATTCATTTCAGGTATATTTTTCCAAAGCTGCATGGTAATATCAATAGCAGCAACATCATTTACCGTTTATGTACAGGCGGTTCACTTCCGAAGTCCTGACACACAAATGAGAATGAATTTTTGGGTATGGTTTGAAAGATTAATCTCATTTATTAAGCCAAATAGGAGATTGGAGTGAGCTTATTTTTCTATTGTGCATCAAAAATTGTCATTATTTTATGGCGTTAAGGATTTCTCTAAAACAGACGAGAAAATAAATTAATAAACCTCAGATATTTTATTTTAATTAAAAAATGCGAATCTGACTTAGATGACTAAAATACAACAGTGTTTCGAATCATATGTTCCATAAAAAATGACATTAATAACTTCTAATGTTGTACTTGGATTAAGGTTGCGTCTTGACGCAATTCAATAGCAGGTTGATTAATCGCTGTATTTTTTAAGATGAGATTTATATTATTAGAATGGGCACCTTATATTTTACGCATGAATCAACCAAAGCGACAGAATACTCTGAAAACAATCAAAGAGGGCTGGAAAAGTCGTAAAAATAGAAATGAAGACGATCGAACTGCATTTACATACGTTTGTTTTATGAAAGTATATAATTCTAAACTTTTGCAGTTTCAATATGCCAGTATTCCACGAGATAGTGCAAGTTATTCAAAAATTTCATCTCTTAAATGTATGTAAAACAACTTTGTAGTTTCGGTTTACATTATTATTTTATCGAGTAGGTCTTAGGTCATAGTGCAGCAGTTATATTTGAAAAGCTCATTCCTAATTTTACTTGATGAGACTTGCAGCTCATTTCTTTTTTTTCATTGCTAGTTTTTGTAATCTTTTTCCATTCTTGTTCTGTGTTCTTTTAGTAAAATTAATCCTTTGTCTAATGAATAAATTAATTTTATTGTTTTTATGCCATTTTAAGCAGTAATAATAAATTTTGAAGTTAAATACTTCACTTCAGATTCTGTTCTGTACGTTGCATATGCTTGGCATACTTTTATTTCTCTTATTTTAGAACGATGGACACATGCAAGTATTGGAGAAACTCGGAGAAGCGTTGAAGAATAATTTTCAAAGTTTAATGCTTCAGCTAAAAGTTACTCAAAGCAGTAAAAATGAACACAACTTGTTGCAACGTTTGAAAATACTTGACCGTATCCTTAATCATGTCAAGGTCTGCATTTTATCGCTTATTACAAGAGTGAAATGTTTACTGAAACTAGAAATAACCGATCAAAACACTGACAACAATAAAGGAATTTAATGATACAAATAAACTTTGACCTATTCTATTATAATAGGTCAAAGTTTTGGCATTATATGCTTTCACATTTGCATTTTTAACAATTCAACGATTAATTTTTTATTCTAGTGTCATGATTTAAATGCAGTATATAAGTTTTTCAAGTTATCATTAAGGGCATACGTGAAAAAACTGGTGATGTGGTTGAAGAGAAGCGAATCGCAAATGAATGGAGATTTGCAGCAATGGTTGTTGACCGCATCGGTTTAATTTTATTTTCAATGGTTATTGCAGTCACTTCGATGACCATTGCTCTTCGTGCTCCTTATCTCGTTGCTTAAAAGTATATAATTTTATTGAAACATTCCTGACATAATTAATATTCATTTTGTAGTGCTCTAAAGCTTTAAATGTTAGAAATACTGTACTGACTTGTTAGTATACTGCTATGCACCACCAAAGATATTCCAGTAAAAAAATATTTCTGACAGAGAAATGGTCATATATTAACTAATAAAGGCATTATCATGCTCATGTCTTGATAACCGACCAATGTTGGTAGAATATTTGCATTACAAATCACTGATCTGAGCTCTGTTTTCATTTCTTTCATACTTTTTATAGTCATTGGTAGTGTAAGAAAATGTAAAACAGTATATGATGACCTTAAATTAACCGTCAATATTTGATTTTGTTTAGTCAACAAATCGTAGACGCTAATCATGCATTAAGTAATATATCAAATATCTTCGATTGATAGGTGTATCTGCAAAGTATCTGTAAAAAAACCACTACTTCATTTCATTTCAAAATTGTACAGAATTCATAACTACAAAAATAAAACCGAACATCTTTACAACACAATCTTCACTAATTTAATTTGTCTATGGGAACATCTGAAGTAATGATGTTCTCTTACTTCATCTCATTCTGATATTTAATAAATTCATTACCAAGGAAAAAAGCGTCAATAAAATGCTTGATTCTTCATCGATCTTCTATTCTGTCTTTCATAGCCATCTATTTATCATTCCATGAACTAATGATTAAGTACTACATAAGTTGTTTCTTCGGATGTGTTAACTACGAATCAAAGAGCAATGTAGTGTATGTCAGTCACTAACGTTTTTCAAGTTGATTTTTGAAAATATGATTTTTAGATAATAGAAAACAAGTGTTTGAAATGAAATGAAATGGCTGGTTTTCTTCATTATTAGTTGCTCAAATGAGTAATGCAGAAAAACTCCCGCAAAAAACTAAAGGTATTTAAGCCACAAATTTACTGCAATTTAGAACTAACGTTCATGTTGAGAAATATGCGTTCACTGCTTTTGTCGGTGTTAGTTTTTCGTTAAAATTATTTGATACTTTGAGGAAACGGGATATAACTTCCAATCTCATGCAGTGTGGTACGGATGAATATCGCTGGCATAATGCATGTACCATATGATTTATTTTTTATGCACTGTTTTATCTTGATAAAAAAATATGCCAAAAGCAAAAGAGAATAAAATCTATCTAATTTAATGATGCATTTTTTAGGTCGCGTAAAACAAAAAAATGTAATTTAATTTTCAAACGCAATTGCTGCTTTGAGATGGTTCTAGAAGAAATTTTCCATTCATCCACTAATATTCCAATATTTTCTTTTTTCAAGGATTTCTTTCCATTAAGTAAACCTATGCTCACACCAAATTTGTATTTTCTTGTTTTTAAATAAATATTTATTTTCTCAAACGAATAATTTAAATTGAATATTGATGTTATATTTGCACATTTGAGTAGTAATTATTAACAAAACATCTGAAAAAAATTACAAAATTGCAGAAACAGTGCTGGCGCAAAATGCACCACCATGAACTCTGTTCTTGCAAGCAAAACTGTTTATCACTAAACTCAAATATCAGGAAAGAAACAAACCCAACCTCAACCATATCACCAAAATTATTCAAATTTCACAAATTAAACACTAATGTATGAAAATTGATTTAACATCTTCAAAATTTAGTTGTTTATCATCAAGGCACTGAGGTCATATAATGAGAAGAAAAAATACCATTAGATATTAACTCGTAACCTAGAGACAGAAGCCAATAATGAGAGATCTAAAAAGTCCAAAAGGCCAATTCTCAAGACAAAAATAAATGAAACCACTGAGAACATTCCACAGTTCCACTGCGAAAGCTATTCACCAACAATTTTCAGAATCATATCCTTCAATTATAAAAATCGCACACAACATACACAAAAAGAAACCAAAAAAATTATCGTGATACCCATTTTCCAAAACAATAATAATTCCAAATTCCCACGTTTAGCAAGAGAAAACGGTTTCCAGAAAATATTTTATGAGACCATTCTCTCTTGCTAAGCGAGAATAGTTTCATAAAATGTATATTTTGCATACTGCATAAAAATGACACTGAACATGGCAGATTATGAAGAACGAAAAGTTTCTGAAAATGAGAATTGTGACTAATTATTTAAGACTCGCTTATATATGTATTCTTCATTGTGCAGTAAAATGAATACAGCTTGTGACTGGAAGAAACGACAGCAAATAAAAATTTGCTTTGTTTTTCTTTTTCGACTTTTTCGCAAATGCACGATTTCTGCTTATTGTGACTATCTCTCAAGCCATGCTGAAATCATTCGTTCAGACACACGTACATGACGTGTGATTTGTCAATTCACAGAGCTTTTTTCCACTTCCATACACTGCCTTATCTGCCTATCAGCTCAATGCAATTTGTGCAATTTTAGATAGCTTTTCTTTTTTTTTTAAATCGTAAAATGAAACAGTTTATTCCAGCTACTTATTTCGACAGCCATAATATTAAAAGTGCACAAAATAAACTGCTTAACTGAAAAACCTGGAATATGAACAAACATAACAGACAAGAAAATATGCTGAGTGTGCGCTTTATTTGTGTTTCAGCAAAAAATGTCGTAAAGGAGACACGGACATCGCTGACCTCTTGTATAAGGTCTGCTAGAAATTTGTTTGACGAGCAATGCACCACGAGATGTGTACGAGCGGACAATTAGAGGCCATTATCGACATGCAAATTCCAACTGATCAAGATTGATGAAGTTGTAATTAGTATCGTGCATAAGATCGCAGTTAGTATGCTAAAGCAGATAAAAGAGACTTCAATCAAGTGGAGACTTTATGAGCTTTTTTCGTTTAGACGAATCTCACGCAGACGAGATCCGCGGTCTTTGTTGCTGCTTCATCTTTCTCCACTAAGGTAAGCATAATATGTTTTCACTCTAATTTCAGATTCTTTCACTTTTTGCAAATAAATAATTGCACATCTAATGCGATGTAAAGAGCGTTTGCATCAAAAGAGCTCAAAGAGCCAACTTCAGCTCTTTGAAGCACTTCCGACATCATGCGCGACTAGTTCAGGTTAACAGCAATTTAAGCATGAAGACAATCAGAAAATGGTACTTACACGGATTAGTTGAAATTAGTTTTGTTTGTGAATTCATTTAATAAAAGTAGTGAGGTTAGTTGGGTTCAGTGAATATCCTCAGTATCTTCCTTGCACAGAAATTTGTAGGGACAGGTGAGAAAATGTAACTACCCCATTTGCTCACTTATGTGAAAGTTTACAGAATTTGCTGGAGTTAAAGCAATTCAAATTAATTTAAGCACAGTTAGACAACAGAGAAATACACTCAATGACTGCTTGAGTAATTAAGAGAAGTAATGAGACATGAGGGATCGCCGGGTGCAGCTGTTGACATGTGTGAGTGATTTCAGGGAGGTGTAATTTTTTTCTTTCAGAGGGACTTGCTTATGTGTGCAAATATGTTTTCAACGCGTAAGTCAGTTCGTAGCGCCACCCTTACTCAATAAATTTCACATATTTATGTATGCATCAAAATGCATTGCGTACTATATATGGACTCAAGTGATGATGCGAATGCAAATTACTTTTTTTGGAAACGTACAGCAGCTTGCCAATACAAAAGAAAGACAAGTAATAAACCAATTATACATGCCTCTTCATGCAAGGAATACTGACTCTTGGCATGCAACTAACATACATGCTTAAGTGGGTTGACATACATTTTTAATATCAACCAGCTTTGTGTAAAGGAGTAAATGGGATAGTGTCCTTTTCTCTTTTTAGCGTTAATCCACATAACACCTTAAATTTAGATGAGTGCGTACTGAAGCTAAAAACTGTTGGCTGCTCTGCCTGTTTGCAACATAGAGCAGGGCCTTAATTAAGATTCAATGAACTATTTTTTGTAACTCGATGACAGGCGTGGGAAATAATCCACTGCTGTATGATTGATAATATTCAGCTGATTAAAGTATAATTATTATTTTATTTCAAAAGAGTTGCTTAACACTGTTCATGAATCCATATTTTCCGTTATTTCTATCAAGAACTTGTCAGTATTATCCCTACTTTTTTAAATATCATCGACTGAATAGTAATTATGAGGTACTGCGAATCCCAGTGTACTGAATACAAACACAATAACTCCCCATTTTCGAGAAGAGGCAAGAAAATGCTGTTCAAATGGGTCTCAGTTGCGTTACCGCTACTACTACAACTAACAGTAATAATAGCATCATGAGCCAAGACCCCAATATCGGACTGGCCAACGCACTTCGACAGAGGTTCACTGTATTCCTGTGAAACAAAGACTAGGAACCCACCCTCGACTACCCTAACACTCCCTGTTATGACAGACTACCCAGCCCTGATCAGTCAAACTCCCCGACTAAGTATCGACTAACCTCCCCACCACATGCTTGATATTTAGTCCCCTGGAGGACTTCCAAAAAATGTCAGAGTATCTTTGACGCTCTCCTACACGGAAATCTTTAGTAAAAGGCGAAAGATTTACGCGGTCAACTGTAGGAGAGCCAGATTGATTGGACACAGAGACACCCATCCATATGTGTAAACTGTTGCAACTATTGAGCGGTTTTGAAGTAATCATATGAGCACGCAATAAGACAGCTAGAGAAAAACTTCCGACCACAATCAATCATCGATGGGCTGGAACAATTACAACTTACAATGAGTGAAAACTAAGATTTACTTTCCTTTTTCGCTTCGCAACTGCGTATTTCTGGCAGTTGTGACTACGTTTTCAGCCCCGCTTCGATCATCTATCTATTCATGCCCTCACGTAAATGACGTGTGAGAGTGCCAATTCCCAGTGCTTCTACTTCCACACGTTGCCTGCCATTACTCAACTCGACTCTTCTTTGCTTGAATGCATAAACAGTCTATGACTCATTCCACACTCAATGCTTTTCATATAGCACTTTCACCTTTAAACAAACACGACTTAGATTAATCCTTGAGCATTCTGAATCCATCACAAACATTCTTTCCATCTGAGCTCCAGATCTCGAAGTTCAGCTTATTCATATATTTCTTCAGACACAAACACACACAACATCCCTCCATTGCTCTCCTCGCAGCAACAGTAATTAATTACTACTACCAGTGCCAGTTCTGATTCTTCTCATCACATCTGTAAGCGTTATGCCTTTTTCGCAGTCTTCAAAAGCTCAACCCTTCTCTTTCAAATAGGTGAGTTGATTACTACATTTAGGAGGAGCTCTTCCTCCTTCCTTCTGTGATTCTATCAATTTCCTATTAGAGAATTACTGCAGTGAGAGAAATACTTTTCATTTTGAAATATTTTTTCCTGATTTCCCGTAATATTAACGATTATTTTTATTAGTGATTATTATTATTATTATTAATGACTATTGTCATTGTTATTATTACTAGTTACTAATAATTACAGAACTGAGCTCGAGGCAAGTGCAGCAAGAATGTCAGAATACGATTTAGTGCAAGAAAGGAAGAATAATCTCCATTATAAAAATATAAATATAATATGCAGGGGATGATATTGAAGATCAAAGTTTCAAGTTTTTTTCAGTTCTCAAAACCTTGAAGAATCCAAAATTACTTACATAGAATACTGGTTGAATGTTCCAGTTAGTAAATTTTGCATTGGCAACGAAGTATATAAAATTTAATATGTGGTAAACCGATTTCAATGCTGAACATGTAATTCTTTCTAAATATTTCAAGTTATATTCTATATAAATTTATCTGAGATGTACATCCAAGTATGCAATATTTTACCTTTTAATTTTAGTTCTAAAATATGACTATATCTTATTTCAGCAAAAAAGGGAAGAGTTCAGATTTTAAAGAAATTCTAGTAACCTCAGAATTACAGAAGTCACATCGAATGAGATAGAGGTCTCGAAAGTAAAAGGTATAAGATCACTTTACATCTTACACTTAAGCCATTGTTGTAAGTAACTTTTAGCTCACTTTTCATCTTGTTTGAAACTGATCTGAAATTGAACTTTTATTTTGCATGAATTTAATTTACTTTTGATTCGCCTTCATTGGAATTATTGCTTGGAATTTTCAAACTTTAATTTTTGCACTCCATCAATCGTTTTTAATTCAGTATGAATTCCTACAACGCACTTTTATTTCATCTGAAACGTTATTATTTATGTGATCAGTTCAATTTATCTTTTCTCTGGTTATTTACAGCTGTAAATAATATATTTCGAACGATAAGCTTTATCATATTAATGCATTCAATGAGTCTTTTTTGATTTGTTTCAGCTTTCTGCGATCACATTCATTAGCTTCAAATTAAGGCATAAATCAAAATGAACCTTGCCATTTTACACTTGCTGTGGCAAATAAATATTACCCAGGAAAAATTGCAGAGTCCTTCCGTTATAGTGCGTAATTCACGTATGATACTTCCATTGTTCTTTATTGCTTTATTATTGGATTCTGCATTACGGTACCTCGGGATTTACAACAGCGTGTGCAACCAATGCATGCAGATGCACGAACACATACGCATATATACTTTTACGCACTTCAAACATTCACGCATAAAGACGCATGCACCAGCATACATATGCATCCATGGACATGCAGATTTTATTTACATTACTTTTTTATTAAATTTCTTCAAAGATTAATATCACGCTTTGTAAGACGCAGCACATGCTAGCAATTTAAAAAGATTCTTGTCTACTCCGAATTGCAGTATGTAATAAGAAGTGAAGCACTTGGATTTATGAGCAATCTATATTATGATGAAGCAGTGTGTACAAATATGATCATGTCACACCAGATGATTTTTAGAGTATGTGTTTTATAACTTTAAATTCTTAAGATTCTAAAAAGCTAATCATTTCTAGTGCTGTTTTTGTAATCAGCTAATCTTCTAACTCTTTTAAAAGCCATACATTACTTATCTATCGAGATTCAATTTTCATGAATATTTTTAATTTAAAACGACTTATTATGGATCTGATTACTTACGAGTACCTGTCTGACAAAAATTAAGCTACTTAAACTATTTAGTTGAAGTGAACGGAAAAAATGCATGCTTTACGTCAGCGAAATTAACTTGCTGCATAAGCAGTTACAAAAATAAATA